CAAACCCAGCCCCAGCTAACGGGGCGTCCCTACCTGGAGCCAGTGGGGCCCTACGCAGAACCCTCACCAAATCACACACTTATCTCACTGACGGTAGCGACTGCTCCACTGCCAACTGGACGGCTCCTGACTTGCATCTACAATGCTCACAGACTCACTGCTCTTGCTCGCTTTCCATCCGACGAGGGGAGTAAACTCTGACGTTTGATTTCTTTTCCCTCGGTACTAAATCCGGCACAAGGAGGAAAAACAATGAAGTTACCACCTCAGTGGGCAGCGTCGCGTAGGCTATACTTTTCGACTCTCCTACACGGCAGCGCTCTGCCCCAAACTCTCCCCCCATTACGCCTTTAGCATTACAACTAGAACGCACCCCTTGCAACGGCACCCAAAATAATCACTCTACACAGCATACTCTGGCCCCTCCCCAGCCGTAATCTCACAGAACCCCGTACCCAACGAGAAAGCACACGGCCTGTGAAGAATACTACAGCGAGCACAGATGAGGAATTCAAAGCACTGACTGCTTACTCACAGCCAGTTATGCGGGAGTTAGAAAGCTGAGGACTGTTCATGTCGGCTGACAAGGATGTCCAGTCTGCTCATGTGCACTTCTCCCAGTTTCTCCTCGAGATAGGGGTCCTGGAAAATTCCTCTGGAAGCGCAGCTGCAAAAGCCAAGCATGAGCCATCACTACACCAACCTCTATTGGTGCTTCAAATCTTGCCCTCCTCCTGGCCTCCCTCTCCAATCCCATCTACCTCGGCCCCGCTCGACGAACAGAGACCGAGATTACACCGACAGTCACAGCCCTGGATGATTTTCGTCCCCTCCTACTTCTCCATGGCTCCCGAGACATAGCCTGTGTTGATGCACACATTACATGGCTGCCCGTGTCTTACGAAGGGAGACAACACGAGGAAAGGCAAGGACAGAGAGAGAGATAGAGGGTGTGTGTTGGCCAACGTACTAGAGAAGAGAGACAGAGAGAAAAACATGGGAGGAAAGCAAGCAACTGACCACCTGGAGTCACCCTCCTGAATCCAAACTTCCGCTGCAGAGGAGACACCGTTCCTGGCCATAGAAATGAGCAAGTACTGAAAATAGGAAACTTTTCTCCCTCGTAACCACAGCTAGTCAGGAACCTTTTCATACAAACCCAGCCCTACTGTACTGGGCTTCCTAACCTGGACTCAGGTTGGGCGTGAGGAGAGCCGTCATGAAACCAGACACTTATCTCACTGAGAGCGGCGTCTCCTCGGCTTCCAGATAGATGTTTTTTGCGTGACATCAACAATGCTCAGAGTCTCGACTCTCTGGCTCACTTTCCATTGCATGAGGGCAGTAGACTGATGTGTGACTTTGTTTTCCTTGGTACTAAATCCAGCGGGGGGTGGGGGGATGGGAGAGGGGGGGATTAGCATCTCCGTCTGCAATGCCGCGTACTCTTTTCATTTCACATCTCCCATATCCCACGGCCCCATCCTCAACCCATCTCCCATTACTACGTTACAACTGCAACTAGAAGGCACCCATTGTAACGGCACCCAAAATACTCACTTTCCTCAGGAGACTCGTCCCTTCCCCAGCCTTAATCCCAGAGCCTCATACCAAACAAGGAAGCACATGGCCTGTGAAGAAAACTAGAGCGACTACAGATGAGGAATTCAAAGCACTCAACTCTTACTCTCAGCCAGCGATGCAGAAGGCAGAAACATGAGGACTATTCATGTCTCCTTAGAAGGATGTCCAGGCCGCTCAGGTCCACTTCTGCCATATTCTTGTCAGGCTAGGGCTCCTGGACGATTCCTCTGCAAACTAATAAAGCCAAGCAAGAACTATCACTACACAGAGTTCTATGGGTGCGTCGAATCTTGCCCTCATCCCTGCCTCCCTCTCCAGTCCCATCTACATCAGCCCCACTCGATGAACAGAGACCGAGTAAACACAGTCACAGCTCCACTTTGGCGCCCACTGCCCCATATGGTTTTCATCCGCTCCTACTTCTCCATGGCTCCCAAGACCTGGCCTGTTGGGATGCACACCTAGCACGCCTGACCATGTCCTACGAGTGGTTCGTGTTGGGGAGGAAGAAGAGATAAGGGCTGAGCAACCCGATGGGTTGAGAGTAGAACTGGAGTGCAAGGTAGGGAGAAGGATGCATGTTTGTGAATGT